AGGAAGGAAGGAAGGAAGGAAGGAAGGAAGGAAGGAAGGAAAGAGGCCACTGCCAAATGAGACTTAAGATATCCATGTCATCTGGAGAATCCGAGCTACCTCAATAGCTATATTTTTTTGTTTTAAATACGGGGATAAAACCCCTTCTGCAGGCTTCTTTTCAGTCCTTCCTTTACCCTTCACGTCTCTTCCCCATCCCAGGAAGGACGATATATCCAGACTTGCTTGTCATCGAGCGAATCCACTCATTTTAAGAAGTTCTGTACCGCAGCCAGTTCGATTTAGATGCTTTCCTCCAGGGTGTTCCGTGTCGACGTAGGTGATTTTTCTTCCAACGAGCTGTTCCGTCTGTGCAAGGCTGGGAGGGTGAGGAGAGAGAGAAGACGAGAGATGGTCGCCACCGTTAATAAATACAGTTAAGGGAAAGATTAAGCCGTGCCCGGTTTTAAACTAAAGAAGAAAGAGACCCAAAAATTGTAGTACAAGGGAGGGAACAGACTATAATCCACTGCCTGTATTTGGGCGTGTTAATATAAAATGCACGTGCGTGTATGGATGACTATGTGTGTGTAAGATGCATCGGTACAGAGGCAATAATAAAAATGTTTGTACATGCAGTTCCATCGATATTTAAAATTCTTGTTTTTCCTTTTGTTGCTGTATAAAAAAAATACTATTATTTTTGAATGGATTCCAAGTAAACTGATATGCTTCTTTTTAAAAGAGGGAGGGATCCTCACAGAATAATCTAAAATATTTCATGGCTGATGTGCCCAATTAACTGTGACTACAGTAGCATGTTCACGGGTCTGTACTTTAAAAATAATTGCTATTACCTGGAAGCCAATACAACTTATATTGTTTAAAATGTATTCAACAGCTGGCTAAACATTTTAAAAACAAAAATTATCTAACTTCCTAGCCTTCCAACTTTATTTCTCAACATTACCTTGCTGCAAATAAATCACAACTACAATGAATATAAGAGGAAAAAAAATGAAAACGTGTAATAACATATCTTCTGCATTTTTATATGTAACTATGACTGTTGGCCATTCATTTAATGTGGTCTTTCTTTCTGATTCTCTGTACCCTACTTTTCTATCCACCAAAAAGCATTTCAGACTTGAGTCATGGTTGTTGTTGTTGTATTAATCCAATAGGTGTTATTCCATTTTCAGAATACGTGTCATTTCTAAACCGCTTGTTTTCTATGTTCATGCGTTCATTATGGCTTTTTTTCCTCCTGCCGCCGAGCATCACCCGCCAGTTCAAAGAGGGCCTGTCGGTGGATTATACCATTTAGATAAAGGCCACTCGTGAAGGAATTCCTATTGCTTAAACAACACTAAGTTGTTTATATGTGTGCGTTTCCCCCGCCCCGACGGAGAACCTATTCTTTTATTGAGAGTTCGCCTTTACTCTTCCTCTGCCTTCTCATTCTGTGCTGTTTGCTGCCATCTACCGTCCGATTAAAGAAGTCTTCGAGTTGGTTTCCATGCGATACAATGATTAATTTCCCATGAAAACTAGTTTAACTAGACCAAGATTTTCATTTTCTACAGTTAATGTATTTTTGTCATGTAATGGATTAGGCATGCCTTACAGAATCTGGAAACGGGGCTGAAGAGAATTTCCACCCGTCTATTTAGTTAAGGTTGTGCTAGTGTGTGTGTTAAGAGTATGCTGATTGTAACAGAGTATTCTTTTTAAGTTGCTTGAAGTATTTTTACAGGTTTCGGAATGTATATGAAGATTTCAGATGGGATTTGGGTGTATTTGTATCAGTTAAAAAGAATACCCTTTCTTAAAGAATTATGTAAGATATTTTGTTTCATTGTTTCTGGTAAACTGATAAAAATCAGGTACTTTTGCCAATATGTCTGAAATTAGGAGTTCATATCAAAGATGAACGTGTTCCATTTTCCAGCTGAAAGAAGTAGTCTGATATTGCTCGTGTGTTCAGAATGTTACCAGGGTCAGAGAGGGCTGGTCTATAAGCATAAACCAAACTTGATTAATCATAGGCTATTGTGGGTGTAGAAAAAACTCTCTCTCTCTCTCTCACACACACACACACACAGATAGACACCTTATATTATCAGAACCAGACTATGTATAACCACTTTATTTTCATGTCTCAGATATATGCATTCCTCCAGGTAATACAGGCTATGATTTTTGTGTGGATAACATTATAATGAGATTTGCTTTTGAGACAGAGGATTTCTGAGGTACTTTTATTTTAGAATACCTCTCACCCAAGATAGCCAAGTGATAAATACATTGGTCCCCCCCCCCCCCCCCTGCCGCTCTGTTGTGGTTTGTCTTAATTTTTTTTTTTTTTAATCAAACATTTCCAAAAATGTGGCAGCTTGCTTGGTTTGTTTTTATTTCTTAACTTTACTCTAAACTCTCATTTCCCCTTCTGGTTAATTATTAACTAAACCCTTTTGATAAAATAATGAAAGGTAGCTTCCCCTCACGATTTTTTTTAATCCTCTGTGATCCCATTAAAAAGATTATTATACATTTTGGGGAAGCCAGGTAAATTAAACGCAAATGACTGAAAATTAAGTTTGAATGGTTATATGCTTGGAAAGAGGAAATTGAGGGGATAGACAAAGTATTTGTGTGGGTGGCTATGTGCATGCATGTGTGTGTGTGACGTGTTGTGTGCCTTTCAGTATCATTGTTTTATAAATGCCCACAATATAAACATCAGTTAGAATTGTGATAAGACAAAAGAAGCTCATCTCCTGTGAATAGCTTTATGATCCTAAATAAATTCATGAGGCTATTCAGTTCTCTGTGTGTGTGTGCTCGTGCGCGCGTGCAGGGTGTGCTTAAAGGCCAATCTTTAGTTTATGGTACCAATCTGATTCTCCTGTCAAGGATCATGCTGTTTGTTGAATTCCAATACTCCTATTCACACAGGAAAAATAAAATTTGCTTGCTTGCTATTTTATCTCTACTGAAAATTTTGTGATTGCTTCAACTTGCTTCAACTTTTTTTTTCTTTGCTCCTGCCACTGAGCAGTTCCCTGGCCTAGGATCTGCCTAGAGAAATATTTGGGTGTAGCTTTTAATCCCCTCATTTATCTCCCCCCCCCCCGCTTTTCCTGGTGCTTTCTAAAGTTGGATTTTGCTAAAGCAAAAAGGCAGGAAAGAATGGAGAGGAAGCTGGGGGTGGCAGAAACCTGGAGCACTTTTTCAGCAACAAAGCACCAGCTACACATTTCTGTAAATAAATCCTGTTAATCTTTATTAATTCTCCACATAGTTATGCCTTACACTGATCAAGATAAATTTTCTGAGCTAAAGAAAGCCTGTCAGTATTTTCCAACAATAACAGGGCATAGAAATGAGTTTATTTGCCCTACAGCTGGCTCATACATTGTTTTCAACTAATAAAAATAACATTGAAAACTATAGGCCCAGTATAAAAGTTTGCCAAGGGACCTGAGAATAAGTCCCTAATATTTTCACAGTAATCAGAGGGGGAAGGAGGAGGAGAATTAATTAGAATTAGAGGAGGAGGAGGAGGTTGGCTAGACATTAAAATAAATATTCTTAACTATCTATTAGATAATATCCAAGGTAATGTTAAATAAAATATAGCAATAATCCCAGGGATTATTCTGCCCCAAATATTGATTACCGAATACTGATTCCTCACCATTACTACCACACACACATAACTTGAGGCATAGTATACAGCAGGTTTTCAAGTCATTTCAGATAAAGATTTGTTCTTTTAAAAAGCTCTAAAATTAAAATGCATCCGTTACATTGAAAAGCAGTTATTACTTCTAAGATGTGGGATGTGGGGAGTATTTTCCCCATATTTGGGCAATAAATATTAGAGCAGCACAAGTCAATTAGTGGCTTAATTTTTATGTTTACCTATTTTCAAATTTAAAGTTCCAAACATTTTGCAGGGTTAAAAATGTTTCATCTGAATTGCCAAATTTGAGTGATAGAACTTTTCTCTAATACACAAACAGGTTTGAAAAAGACTGGGCTTTTTCCATTTTATGTTATTATATTTATTATATATTTCCATTTTAGCCATTTTCCATTCCATAAACCACTTCCTGCCAGACCAAAGCCTGCTCACCCACATCCACCCACCCACACCTTGTGCATTTCCAGCACCAGTTCTTAAGATTAAAAGTTCAGAAAGTAGCACATTTACTCACTTCAGTAGCCAAATAGTCCATTCAGAGATTCTCGCTTATCTGTGAGAGTTCCCTGTTTCTAAGCAAGGGTCTGAAGTGTTGTGCCGATTTCAAATAAGTTGTAGGAAGGGGTGTTGCTCAGATCTGCTTTCCTTACTCTTCTTCTTCCTCCCCCCAATGTCCTCCGTTTTTACCCATCAGTAAAGTGGATCAAGTTAAAGTTAGGATCTACTCTGCACACAAAGGAAAGGGGGAAAAGAATCCGCAGGAACACAAATCAAAGACCAGGGTAGTGTGTGTGTGCGTGCGTGTGTGCATGTGTGTGTTTGTGAGAGAGAGAGAGAGAGAGAGAAAGAGAGGGAAAAAAAGGAGAGAGCGAGAGCGAGAGAGCGCCTTGAACAAACAAACAAAAATTACTCCCCTTGCCTGCAATTTCCTTCCATTCTAAGAGTTATATCATAGTAGTGTTGGAACCGTGTGGGTTTCCATGTCATTAAAACCGAGGCTGGTAACAAATTAGATAGCCATCCAGCATGTTTTGTGGTTCCTTAATCCTCAACAGAGAAAATTCGCATTGGTCATTCTACAGGGATCGCGTTGCCATGTAAATCCGGTCTGGGAGCAATTGAGGGTAGGTGTGGTGGAGAATTCTTATGAGCAGATTGCACATCTGTAATCCAGGGGTGACAGAGAGGTAGCTTGGATCACAGTTTCAATTGTCCAAAAGTGTAGGGAGATCCCTTTTCATTCAGAGAATCAGAGGTGGGATGAATTTGGAAAGAGGTGTCTATGTTTGCAGATTGGTGATGAAGGACATGTGATAGGTAAAGAGTACTTCAAAGTTTTGGCGAATCGAAAATAGCTCACTGTAGTGACTATTTCTTGAGGAAAGATGAAAGATGAGCTGATGTATGAGTGGATAGGTAAGGAGGGAGGGAGGGCAGGAGGGAGGGAGAGAGAGAGATGGCAAAATGATAGGCAGGGCAACCAGAATTTACAATTTAGTACAATTTCATTGCTGTAGAAGAAACTGGAGCATCTTTATAAGATTCCTTGAATTCACACTTGCACACGAAGGAAGCAGAATCTGGGGGAGGGGAAGGGGCACATATCAGCCTTAAACTATCTGCCACAACCGCACCAAATGCCAGGTAATTTTATCGCTGGAGGTCTAGGCTCACCCGCCAAGTATGAGAATTGGCGAGGCGAAGAGGAAGTCAAACGCCAAACTCCAGCCTTTTGGTCAACTTTTTCAGCCCCTTCATAGTTATCTTTTTAAAAGAGTTTTAAAGCAGGTCAACGAACTAGGAGCGAGTTTAATTTATTCCCGAATTTACTGCAAACTCAAACGTGCAAAATAGAAAGCCGGGGTTTCCCACTCCGCCCTCAAAGCTCCTATCAGCTACCCTGACATCTTCCACCCCGTGCTTGCTTTAATAATTTCCGATGTTCGGTGATCAATAAGGGGGGGGGGGTTTGACCGTCAGACCAACCGCTGCCTTTAACTCTAACCTGCCCAAAGACCCGGCCTGAACCGTAAAAACGCAAGAGGGCACCGTTCTTTGAAGCTACGCGGGATGTCGTGGGAGCTGCGCTCGAAAACCGCCAATGCGTCTCTCGGACTTGGGATACGGTGCCGCAAACTTACACGGGAAGGGATCGGTTAGGTCGGGGGGACAAAATAGGTGCGTGAGGGTAGAAGCACGTACCCGTGAAGATGAGAAGGGGGGCTGGGATGCGGCGGGGGGGCGGGGAGAAGGAAGGGTGACCTCCTCCCCCGGAGAACCCGGCGGACCCCCCCAACGGTTTA